TTTTTTTTTTTTTTATTTTGATTCATTATTATCTTTTATCAAAAGGTTACTGGATATGTTCGTGAAAATGATGGACTTAAGTTAGCTCTTACCGATTCTGACGTTATTGTCATTCCAGCTGGTGTTCCTCGAAAACCGGGTATGACTCGTGATGATTTATTCAATGTATGGTTTTTTTTTTACCCTTTAAATATCTGATATTTATTTTATTTATAATTAATTTTTATTTAATAAATATTTAGACTAATGCTGGAATTGTAAAAGAATTGGCTGTTGCTGCTGCAGAGTGAGTAAAAAAAAAGGATGATTTTATATTATAGATTGTAAAACAAAAATAATTAATTTTTTTTTTATATATATATTATAAGATTTGCACCAAAGGCAATCATGACTGTAATTTCCAATCCTGTTAATTCAACTGTACCAATTATATCAGAAGTTTATAAAAAATATAATATTTATGATCCTCGTAGGTAAGAATCTTGTGTATATAGAAAAAAAAAATTTTTTTTTTTTTATTTCTTTATCATAATTTCAAAAAAATTAAACAGAATATTGGGGATCACAACTCTTGATGTTGTACGTGCTTCTCGATTTGTTTCTGAACTTAAGGGAACTGATCCTAGTAATGAGAAAGTTACAGTTGTCGGTGGACATTCTGGTGTGACCATTATTCCACTTCTTTCACAAACAGGTCACACATTTACCGATGAAGAATTGAAAACATTAACACATAGAATACAATTCGGTGGAGATGAAGTAGTTAAAGCCAAAGCTGGTGATTATATAAATTAGTTTATTTTATTTAATATTAGATTGGATGTTAATTGATTCTATTTTAATAATTTAATAATAAGGTACTGGATCAGCGACTCTTTCTATGGCCTATGCTGCATCTTGTTTCGTGGACTCACTACTTCGTGCTATGGTTAAGGGAGAAAAGGGTATCATTGAGCCATCATATGTAAAATCAAATTTATTCAATTCCGATAATATTGAATATTTCGCATCCAATGTAGAATTAAGTGCTGAAGGAGTTGGTAAAGTTCATCCATTAGGAAAACTTAGTGCTTATGAAAAAGATCTTTTAGCTGCTGCTTTACCTGAACTTAAGAAAAACATCGCTAAAGGGGCTGAATTTGTAGCAAATAGTAAAGACTGATTGATAATCAAATATATAGACAGTTGATAATTAATTCACAAATTTATTAATTTGTACAAAAAAAATATATATGTATGTGTGTATATATATATATATATAAAATATGAAATAAAATTTACTAATTTGTACAAAAAATATAAGCTTTGAATATCACCGCCTTTGATTGCATAAATCACATAATCATGTTAATCACATAATCAAAATATAACCAATTGAATAATCACTTGAATCACAAAATTTATACATACATACATAGTAATGAATGAATATATAATAAGAAACTCCCAGGTTTCCCACCAATTTTTTGAAACAAAGAAAAATGAACATGGGCTATCGAGATCGACAAATTCGACATGATAAAAAAGATAGAAAAAGAACGCGTGTTAAAAATACTGATTTAATTTCTTTACATGTGAAAATACTGCAGTGCGATTCTTTTTTTTTTTTTTTTTAA